TGATATACGATTGGCTGAATTTAGGTGAACAGGCTGACGTTTAACTAACGGGCCTGCATTATATAACGAAAAAGAAAAAACTTACATATTTTAAGACAGGATTTTTTTTTTAGAAATAGAGATTTTCATTTGTCTGATAAAGAGTACATTTATATACATGTTTAAGCCGGAATGATTTGACATTTAAATATGACTTCCCTACGACTTTAAGATTTCCAGAGGACTTCTCCATATAAATTCACCAGAGCCCACGTGCATGGCTGTTAGATGTTGGAATACATCGGGTAAAAATGGGTTCGCTGTTGAATTGCCAACTTCTTGCACTTCTGGCCAGAGAAATAATAATCACGCGTTGTGACAAACACCAGATACAGCACTGGGACTTGATCCAACAGCACCATGACATCACAAACCAGTAGGTGGCAGTAGTGTTCTTTGACAAACATGGATACCTCCAGTAAAGCACATTGAAATGAAAATTACTCTTAGTTAAAAACACATCATTCATTAAACAGTATGTAATAATTTCATATTTAAAGTACTTTCAGAAGTTGGAAATCTCAATATGATCGGACTTTTCCTTTAAATCTAGCATATTGGAAAAAAATATCTGATGAAAAGATTCTGTTGGTAAAGCAGAAAACTTTGGTTTTTAAGAAAATATCCAACTTTAGATTAAGTCATTAATTGATATCATGCATTTCAATACTTAATGAAAGCAACCTCCTGATTTAAAAGTAAAGTCTTGCAGATAAATGTTGGATGGATCATAGATGTGTAATTTATATTTCTGGGTTTCCGTTCAAACATTCCAATATGTAGGAATAATCTATTTTTCAAGGACACGGTCTCACAGTCAGCCTGTCTTTAGAGACAAAAGAGGCTCATGCAGGCGGACAGACAGGAAGCCAGCAAAGCTAATCCTTCCTCTCAGTACCTGGACAGACCCGCCCAGCCTATCTGCATTGAGGTGGGAGCCCAGCAGCTCTTGGTTGGTGATTGGAGTGGGTTGAGACTCACTGCCTTTCCCCTCTGG